AGAGAGAGAGAGAGAGAGAGAGAGAGAGAGAGAGAGAGAGCTGGGAAAGAGACAATGGGAATTACGATCATGTGTGCAGGTGGTGTTGTGTGCAGGTGGATTCAAATTCAGACCTGCTTGTCTCCCCAGCTCTGTTTTATCTCCCCCAAGAGACTTGGCATCCCAACATCTCCTTGAATGGCTTGTGCTTGTCATATTGACAGAACTGTGGTGGAAGTAGAAAGAGTTCAAGTGTGTGTCTGTGTGACGTCGTTATGCACTGTGCCCATAAAACATCAGGGTTAATCCACTTCCAGCAAAGGTATCATATTACATTTGGTAACAAGTTTTAATAAAGAGAAATGCTTTTTTTCTTTTTGCAAAGGAGTAATTTGCAGTTAACATTACTTTTGACTGGTTTAGAAGGTGACTAACCACCTGGGGGCATCCATTTTGCAGGGTTAGTTACTTAGAAACTAAAACATTAAAAATTTAAAGTCTCTAGCTTGAGTTGATGGATTGTTGACTAAATCAAGGAGGAAGTGATTTCAAATTACGGAAATGTGGTCCCTAAGTCTCCTTCTGTAGAAAGAACTCTTGTGCACATGTGTCCCTTTTAGTGGCTGCCTTGCACATGTCATGGTGGTGGCAGGGAGGCAAAGATTTGGTGTCTGGCAAATACATTTTGAAGCCCCTCTGCAACAAGATCACTGTTTATGGCTAACTCTCAGAAGTGAAGAATGGTCAGTGGAGAAATTTCATTTCATCCGTCAAGCAGTTGCTTAGATTCCTTACCCTGTTACTCTTAGCTGTATGTTATTTTTCCATATGCTATTTGTAACGCAGCCCAGACTAAGTGACTATTCATTATAGGACGGGAGGTATCAGACAAAGATAACCCTGTCAGATTTTAATTCAAGTTTCTCCCTGGGGAAAAAAAAATCACAAAATGCCTCTCGTGAGGTCATTTAGACAAGTTACCCTCATGATAAACAGGGAGGTTTACAGATATATGTCGAATGATTGCCCTTAATTCCTGCTAAATGTGGCAAGTCTGTGTTCTAGACATTGCTGAAACAAAATGGTAAGTGCTTAGCAGCTGAAACTCATGAGGTTTCTTAATGAAAAACAGAAGGTGCCTGCTGACAGGAACACTCACCAAAACGGGCCCTTCTAGTTCTTCTAGAACAGAGGAAGAAACAAAACAAGAAGATTCAAAACACACTGCAGTTTGAGGCAAAATCCTGTGTAGCTCACCCATCCCTGAACACTCAATCCAAATGTGACCATACCGCTTTTGCCAGCTTCACGCCATGCTCGTAGGTAAGGGGCTTCTCCTTCATGTATAGGAGCCGTGCCAAAGTTTTGGGGTCATCCCGGAGATCAATCTGTGACAAAGATACAGTCACTATTTTCAGGCCTTATCAGTCACTTAAAGTGGAGACATAAGATAGTCCCCTCCCTCACTTTAACATCTTTGATGATGTTGAACGGTCTCTGAGAAACAAATCCAGTGTACCCACCCACGCTCTGAGTGTGTGTGTATGTGTAGCAGGATGGTCTTATACTTTCTTCTTGAAAGAAATTACCCTGGCTACTAAGAACATCCTCCAACGATCCAGTGCTATCTGGGGTTTCGAATTTTCTCTCTCTTTTCTAGACTTCACAGATAGTGGGCAGAGGCTAACCAGATGGTTTAGTACCTTGGAGTGATTAATTATTTGACTGCAACTTTGCAACTTACATCATCCATTATACAATGCGTTTTGTGGCTTTTGATCCATATTTTTTCCTTTTCTGAATCAAAGCTTGACCTTCAAAGGGATGAAGGTTTTCTACCTGTGAGACCTTTTCAACAGATAACAAATGGACAGAGAGCCCTTGCAGAGGAGTCCGGGAGATGAGAGGCCAAAGGGCTCACACAATCAAACAGCAGAATCTCTCTCAAGGGGGAGCTGCTTTGAGGGCAGCAGGTAATCAACTGGACAATTTACTAAACATCATGGTTGCTTTCAAATGTCGCTGTGTATGTGAACACACAGGGTTTGATTCTTAAAGGAAGTCATCAAGGTCATGCTAGGACTCCATTGGTTAGGACAATGCATAGCAAAGTCGGAGTTTTATGTTTCCACTTGTTTTTCTATTTTCCTTAATCATTTGACTCAGTGTCTGTCTTCTCTAAATACTCAACTCAACCCGAGGGCTTGAATGACTGACTAGCTGGCAGCAGGACTGAGGGGTTGAATGTCCAGCTACGTATGTTGGCAGCAGGACCAAGGCTTCTCATTATGGACAAACACTAACACTTGCAATTGAAGGTAAAAGACTTCATTTGAACAGGCAAACAGTTATCTTTCAGAGCAGAAATGTGGATTATCCTCAGCAGTGTGGATAAAGGAGTTCCACGCTGTCTGCATTTAAGAAAAAAAATACATATCCCCATCTGCCCATATTGTTTTTAGAAAGCATTTTCTTTTATTTATGGTTATGGTTTTAAAATTTTTCTCTTTGTCAAATAGGATTCAGAATGAGGACTCGGAAGTAGGAGCATGGAAAATAGATACAACCCCTGGCAGCCATAGCATGGTCCGGACCTCAGGACACTAATGCAGATCCAAACCAGCAAAGAGCTAAACCCATTTAAACTACAGATAGTTCAGACAGTCCTCAACCAACAAGAGGCTAATTGATGGAATTTTATCAGCTTCCAAACCCTTCCAAGGCCTTGACAATTCATACATGTTGCTCTTAATATGTGTGTTTTAACTTTCCCAAGATCTGGGTGGCCAAGGAGTTAAGGAAAATGCAGAAGAGAGAGCTTACTCTCCTTCTCCAGCAGGGCCATCAAGGAGACCTGTCATATGATCTGTCTGAATGTAGGGTTCGTTTGACGTGCACACCTAGTTTGCTGTATTGAAACAGTTGTGGTGTCCAACTTTAACAATAACAGATAGTATGCACAATTGATGCCCCTGCTTCATTACTTCATTCAGGAGAAGAGTGTCTGTTAAAAAATTATTTTGTTTTTTACAAATACATAACAAATAAAGCTGTGAGGTTAAGTTTAAACACCAGATCAAAGCTTTCTGCCTCAT